CAGAACGCTCCAACAGAGAGCATAATTTGCGTAGATACTAATGGACAAATGATAGCTAAAGGGAAATAGACGACAGTCATTATCCATGGACGCCCTCAAGTCCAAAACTAATACCGGCATATCAGTATGCACAGAAGACGATGGGTAATAACAGGCAAAATGCCGACAACAACTCAGGGACTTACTGCGGCTTTTAACGACAAAGGACAGTCGCCACCTGAGCCCAATTCGCTCCAATACTTCCAACGTCTAATTCGCGACCCACAACCCTAAGATCACCCAGAGCAAAATTATGAACGAGTATACCGAGGCATAGAGGGATATCGCACAATTTGTATGTATTCTGTATTCGTACAAGAAACATTTGAATTTTGAATGTCCCTACCCTGACATTTCCAAATTCTAAAAAAATTCACCTACAGGTAGGGGAGATAGGGAATAAGTGGGTGGCACCTTCTCGACAACTCTGAATAAAGTAGTATTCATTTTGTATTATTAACATTAAGAAAAATTAAAAAAAAACACTTTAAAAACGATGGAAGGCATTCAGAGAAATTGTAATAAAACATTAGAAAAATTAAAACGCAGAATAAATACTTTAGAAAGAATGGAAGGCATTCAGAGAAACTGTAATAAAATAATGGAAAATAAATGTGGAATAATTAAATTTAATAAACCTTTAAAAAGGACAAAGTGGTGAAACAAAGAAGTAAATATTTATTAGTAAAACTGCGTGGAGACAGTATCTTCAGAAAAAAAAGAAGATATGGAGGAATATGGTAAAAACAGAAATTTAATAAAAATAACAGGTAAAAGGACTCCAGAGATTTTGAAAGAGAAATGACAGAAACATGCATTATAAAACAGGAAATTTTGGATAAGGATAAAAATATTACAGAGAAATAAAAGGAAATTAATAAAAGGTTTAAAAAATGAAAACAAAAAACTGAAAACAGGAGGAATACAAATCAAATTAAGAAAATACCTGTATTTGTATTTGGAGAAGAATTAAATGACCATTTACCTCGAGAAAGCAAATCCAAAGAGAAGAAGTAGTGGCCTTATATAAAATCAAACTAAGAAAAGCCTATCTCCAGAGATAATTAAGTAACTAGGAAAAAAAGGAGATAATTAAGTGACTAGGAGAAAAAGGAAAGGGTCGTTGTGGAATATATACAGAGAGGCATGGTAAAACACCAAATCCCAATAGATTGGGAACACAACTTAATATTAAAAATATAAAAAAGGGGACTAGATACTCTGTACAAATTATTGACCAATATACTTATCCCAAACCAGCTTTAAGATTTACACAAAAATAATACATACTAAATTAAGAGAATATGCAGAATCAAACTTAGAAGAGGAACAAGTCCAGGAAGACAAAAAAATAACAACGTATATATCTTGAGAACTCTAATGATAGAAGAATAATTATACCTAGCATTCATTGACCAGATAGCAGCTTTCGACTCAGTTGAACTAGAAAAATATGGAAGGTTAATTTCCTTAATCTAGGAAGGAGTTTTTGGTGATAATACATAAACCTAAACGCAGTAAACTTTTATAGTCTTATTTTTAGGCAGAAAAGTAATATATTGGCAATTACAATGAAAAGAAGAGTTTAAATTCAAGGTCAATATTTATACTTTGGAATATAATCAATAATTCAAATCAAGTAAATAAATAATTATTAAATATACCTTGACATTATTTTGAACTAAGTATATTTTTTTTTAAGTTTATTCAATTTTTCAAATTTGTTGCATAACAATAGTTAACTCAACAAAAACAAATACAGAGTATGCAGAAACAAAATGTCTGGTCCTCCTCGCCCCCATTTCAAATTTATTAATAATCAAGAAATTATTAAAGATAATTCCATTACTTGCAGATGCCCTCAAAAGCCATTTCGTAATGACTCTTGCAATATGCTCATTTGCTCATCACCATCTCCCCAATCTCTCCCTCACCCAAACATATTAGTCCTCTTGACTCAGATGAAGATTTATTGGATTGTGAACAGGATTCAAAAATCAAGAAAACTTAAAAAGGAGAAAGATATTCTAAGAAAAAGTAGAGAGAAAAATCTATATGTGATATAGTTGTAAAATATTTATAACATCTATACAAGAATTTACCCGTGAAAAATGTTTAATTTTCTTCTAGTTTATTTGAATTTGAAGGATTTAGGTATATAAAAAAGCAAATTCCAATTTTCAACCACTCAAATAAATATACATATGATGTCAATTTATGTTAATATATTTTTTATTATTTGATATTTTTTACTGTTTCTAATAATTTCCATAAAAAGGGAATAAATCTCGATGGCATCAGTAAGCAATGCCAGCGAGAAAATCAGGAAAACCTAAAGCGCTTTATACTTTGTACAGGTAGACAGTAATCTTTTGTTCTGTCCATTTACATTGATAAGCTTACGGCAGAAATTCCTTAGACGCCACAGCTGCCGCAACACCCGCCTTCTTTGAAACAATAAGGATAATTGAGAGAATGAAGTGGCAGCCGGGGTTAAAATTAACCTGAATTTTGCATTGTCATGTTATCTTACTGCTCTAGAGTCGAGTCTGTAGTTGTTGTTATGAAACAACTTTATTGGAATCGTTGTTGTGGTATTGTATAACACTTAATACACAAATATAATGCAAATTTTATTGTGATTCCTGTGTGATTTTTATTCATTTTCATTTTTGATCGAAGGTAGACTAAATTATATGGAAAATAATACCAAATTGAGTAATATTACTTCATGAAGGACCTGAATGAACAAAGAAAGATAACATCAGACAAAAATTTAATTTTCGCCACTAAATAAGATCAAGGTGCAATGTTGAAAACTAATCAAAAATAGCAAATTGATTGAAAAATGATTACATTTCGTTAAAAATTATCCCAGATATTTCAGCTACAATATCAATCCTAAGTAAAAAAGTTTATAATCCAAGTGATGCAGACTTAAAAGAACTGCAGAGTTTAAACTCCAACTTAGCAAACATGCCGAATACAAAAATTTATTTAGATTCTCTGATGCAGATTGGGAAGAAGATTGATTAGATAAAAAATTTAATTTTGGTTTAGGCTTTAAATTTAATGGAGGCACAGTAATTTGGATTTTTTTTAAAGAACGCACTGTAGCCCTGTCAATTTTAGAAACTAAATAATCACAATAAACTTTTGTTTGAATAATTCTATAAGAAAATGGATGATCCAACAGCACTTCATAGAGCTATGAGGTTAGATAAGCTGAAGAGCGTTGAAATCTTAGAATATAAAGTAGTAAGGAAGGATGGTTACGCCAAGGCCAGTTATTCGGGGTGGTTATACAAGATGGCTACTTGACAATAGTATTTTCCAGTGGTGTATCGTATTTATATTGTTTGAAAGTGTAATATTTTTAAAAACTCAAATGTGATCAAGATTAAAAATTCAGTAAAACAAAGTCTTTTCAAAAGTGGATATTAATATTTCAGCATTTTTACAATTCAACAACATTATTTTTAAAAATTTGTCAAATTTTTACCTAGTCAGTTATTTTGTTTGATGATATAGAATTTTTGAAAATAAAATGTAGTTTAATTGTAAACGATTTTGTCTTAGGTACAGTCTTGCCCAAGGTTTTCCTAAATATTAGTTCAACAATTTCTTTATTTCCAAAATTTTTTTCTTCCTTCTTAATCAATTTTTTTTTCTTGAGTTCCAGCATTATTCTCTTTAAAGATTTGATGACTTCCTCCATACGGTTTGTTGTTATTTCTTTAAATTAATATTCACGACTTGATTATGTGCCTCCAAGTTTTATATTCGTCTTTTGAGTTTACCTTTTTATGAGGGCAACAGGAATGTGCTCTTCTGACTCTATATGTTTGTACAACTTTGTTGACAAACAAAAGGTCTAGGAAGAGCTAAAGAAGCTTCATCATAGGTAGTTGTTACCTGTTTAATCAAAGGATTGTAGGTTCTTACCTGAAAAATACAATACAATATTGCAAATGTGTAACAAATGTTCTGAGATCTGTATCCAGTGATTTATAAACTGCAGATACAATTACACTATCAGTTTTATTTAACCTTATTTTAAGTTGTAATACAGGGTGTTTCATAATATAGGCGCAGGACTTCAGGACGTGATAGCTCGTCTAAAAATATGAAAAAACGTTTCCATTAACTTACCCTCTAAAATGCACCATTTTCGAGATACAGGGTGTTAAAATTGAAAAAAAAAATTCTACGCCGCTAGAAAAAGTACGGTTTTGAGACGCCCATTTGAACCGCCAATGTTTTCTACACAAAAAAGGTTCTACACCTGAGCAAGCAAGATTTGTCTTCCTTCCGTCCTTACATTCTCAAGATTTACAGAAAAAACTCCGAGTCCTCTTTCACATATCCTGACCTTCTTTGACGTGGACTATACCACTACTTTACATTATCAGCCTTATTTTTTATTCCGAGCAATTTAAATGCATTCGTATTTGCTCATTCTCACCTCTTCTCTTGTAAATTCCGTACCAGTTTTTCTTATTTAAAGTTAAGTTTGCACTGCTCTTTTATTTGTCCTTTTCCACAGCTTTAATTCTACAATATGGATCCATTTTTGCGATTTATACTATTTAGTTTTATTAGTAAGTGACCAATCTATTTCTTATATTGTTCCTATTATAATAATTAAAGATTATTGTATTACAGGCCTGAATATGTCCCTGTGAGGCCGAAATGAATGGCTTCTGTATTTATTTATAATAAAATTGATTTGGAGATTTTATTCTTTAATTGAAAAAATGAGACCTTTGTTATATTTCCTGCATCAGATATATATAAAGTATACTTTTTAAAAATAGTAAAATTAGAGAATTTTTTAGTTTTTTTTACAATTAAAAAGTTTGGACAATGTGTGTTCTTACAGAGAAATGATAAGCCACTGAACAAGATGCGTTGTTTATCTTCCCCCTTGTGCCCGCTTCGTCACTTTCTCAACAAATGTTGCGAACACAACAATTGCATACAAATTCGTTTCACGCTCACTCTAGTATTAATTCTCGGAGGTTTGCAACTAATTATGGAAATTACTCTGTGTTAAACTAACCAACAACTTTTTTTATTGATATCTGCCACAATGACATCGTCAACTGTCACACCATCATCATTATGCATATATTTTTCCATTTTTGTAAATTGTAGTATTTCACTAGCTAAATATGTTTGGTAATTCGTTGTAAGTACCATCATTTAATCATTAAAGTCACAACCATTAGTTCATGTAATGGCTACAGCAAAATCACCAAAATATCCAATCGGTATTGATTTAGGAACTACTTATTCATGCGTTGGAGTATTCAGAAACGGTAAGTAAAACCAGTTATCTATTAAATTGTTATTAAACTGTTGTATTGTGGATAGTTCTCGAATATGTTTAAATTAATACAACTGTCCTATCCAATAAATTTTTCTGGCTATTTATTTGAACTATTATAGCTTAAATTGTCTTAAATATATTGTTAATTTTACTTTCTATAAGGAATATTGCTAAAAATATTTTTTTAACTGTAGGAGTAGTTGATATAATTTCTAACGAACAAGGAAGTCGGACCACTCCAAGCTATGTAGCCTTTAATGATGTAGAACGACTGGTAGGGGAACCAGCCAAAAATCAAGTATCTTTAAATCCAACTAATACTGTATACGATGCTAAAAGGCTTATAGGTAAGTTATATCATGATTAAATGCATAATCTTGATAACTATATTACGATTTAGACTAATACATTTCACTTATTAATGATATCTAGACCCAGTGGCGGCACGTCTTAATTTAAAATGGGGTTCACTTTTTCCAATAATTTTATAATTTGTAAGAGTCAATATCGCTGTTTTTTTTATTATTTGAGTTTGTATTAAGTTTAGTTAATATTATCAACATCGTACTGTTTTCAAGCACTACAACTATTAATAAATGAATATTTTAGTTAGTGTAATATTTGTTTTGTTTTTAATACGTTGAAAACCATCTATAAACATTATTAGTTGGTAAACTGACTTTTCTTCATAATTTGAGATTATTTTTAAATATATATCAAGTTTTGTAGAAAGCTTGACATTGATTTTTGTGTAAAAATTTAATATGAAACTTTACCTACCATTTTTTAGTTTTTATTGTAAGTTTAATCATTTTCACAATTTGTCAAAGATGTCAAATAAAAAATATATTTTTTAAATACCTTTTATTGGCAAATAAAATAAGAACTAAAATGTTTTAAATGTTTATTTTATAAGATCAGTCTCATCACAATACATAATATTACACAGACACAAACTAGAATAAAGATATATAATGCCTGGCATTCTAAATGATACTCTTCGCAGTTTAACAGAGCCCCTTAACCCCCATTTTCAAACAGTTTTCATAATCAATAGGCCTCAACTCCTTATAGAGTTTGATTTTTACTAAAAATTTCATGATGATATCGCTTTTCATTTTTAACCGACTTCAAAAAAAGAGGAGGTTATCAATTCGTCGCGATATTTTTTTTATGTATGTTCAGCGATTATTCTTTAACACGGTGTCCGATTTCAATAATTCTTTTTTTGTTAGAAAGGGGCTACTATAGGGGTGGTCCCATATAAATTTTGTCAAAATCTAATGATTGAATCCATGAGAAAATCCTCAAACTCTTCATTTTTTATGTATGTTTAGCGATAATGCTTTACCACCTTGTTCGATTTATACGATTCTTCTTTTGTTAGTAAGGGGGTACCTCAGGGGTGGTCCCATATAAATTTGGTTAAGATGTGGCATCTGCACGTTTTTGAAGTCGGTTTTTTTTAATTTTTAATTTGTAATACTTGTTGATTCTTTTTTTTAATTTCAACCCCCCTTAAATCCCCAATATTTATTCAGATTTTTTTTAATAATTAAAGGGCTTCTTCTCCTTTTAGAGATTGATGTTTACTAAAAATTTCAAGTTTATATTATTTTTCGTTTTTCAGTTAGGATTTTTTTATATTTTAACCCCCCTTAACTCCCCAATATATTCATATTTTTTTCAGTATGAATAGGCTTTATCAAGGATCAACAGAGTTTTTTTTTTGGCCCAGCACCTTTTTGTGGTATTACAAATACAGCCATCAGAAAGTGCTCAATGCAATAGATGTTTAACATATTTCAGCAATGATGCAAAAATTCATCAGGACACAGGCTGCCTGAGAGTCCATAAAAGGAACTCACCAAGCAGCTTCTAAGTCAGAAAAGGAAAACTACTATAGTACTAGTGGGCATATTAACAAAACATTTTGTTAAGGAAGAGGAGAAAACTGCAGTACACGTATTGTGCTAGTGCGAAGGTAAATCAAGAATAAGATTCCTTACACCAAAGTCTACTCTCCTAGCCTAAGAAAAAATACCAAACTAGACACCAATGATCGAAGGATATCCATAAAAGATTCAAAATGTTAAATAACCCACAGTCGTTTACCAAATCTAATTTGATCTAGAGGAGCGTATCAAACCTGATGGTGCCTTAGCAAGGGTTAATATAATAAGATTGCCAACAAGTATCACTTGATGAGTTCCGTTCTCCAATATTCTTATGTCAATTTTCTTTAATTCATTCCATATAAAAATTATTTACATTGACTTATTTTTGTACTACACCTTTGTACTCGTATCTGTGGTGTTGTAAGTTAAGGCTTCTTTAATGATGATTGCTACAGGTTATTATCTGAATTTGCACTTATATTTTCTTTATTCGTTATATTCTAAAGTTCTTCATTGCTAAATTTGTGTTATCAGAAGATTATACACATGGTTAGTATATATACATCTATTTAATGTGGATTTTTGTTTTCTTATTGATATTTGGTTAAAAGAAAGTATTTTAAAAAAATAAATGTTATTGCGAATTACAGAAAATGTAAAAGAAAATTTAGTTTCACTTCCTTAATAAATAACTTTTCATTATTTCTTTCTGATAAAATCCCATTTCCAGGAAGAAGATTTGATGATCCTGTTATACAACAAGATATTAAACATTGGCCGTTCGAAGTTATAGACGAAAGAGGAAAACCAAAAATTAAAGTAACTTACAAATACGAACAGAAAACGTTTTTTCCAGAAGAAATATCTTCCATGATTTTGGCAAAGATGAAAGAAATTGCTGAATCATTTTTAGGGGATAACATTTCGAAAGCAGTCATTACTACACCAGCATATTTTAATGATTCACAAAGGTATTTTTAATTTAGTAGTCCTTAGAGAAACCTCATTTGTTATTAAATAATGAGATCGAGAATGGTGTACAGTGTACAGTTCATCAAATTTCTAGAGGCTTTCGACGGCTAGACAGAGAAAGCACTACTGACAGGCATCCCGACGGATTTACGCAATGAAAGTACACTCTGCGCATCAAGTATTTCACTATTTCATTCAGACGTAAATGTCAGATATAAATTTCGCTAAAACATTTCTTTTATTTTCGTTTGTGTTTCTTGCTCATTACAGTTTAATAGAACCTAAGTATGGAGTTTAATAGCAAATTAAGAGGCCGCGTGATTAACAGTCAATCTCGCGAAACAATAGCCAATGTTATAGAGTTTATGAGAAGAGAAGGAAACTTTAATTCACCTTCAATACCATTTAAAAATGTAAATGATCGTGTTGCTGCAGCCACAGGAGTATCTAAAAACACTGTCGTCCGCATTTCTGGAGAGAAAAAAAGAATCGATAACCGTGAGATATCGGAATTTTCATCACCAAGAAAAACCATTAAAAAACCAAAAACAGTTATTGATATAGATGAAGCTGCACAAGAATCAAATTTTATTTTTTTTATTATTAGATAGCTATTTTTGTTTCTGAGTTGTGTTCATTTACAGGCTCAATTTTTTTCCGTTTCTCCTTTTTGATTTTATATGGGGTTTCAAGTTGTTTTTGACTTATTTCGACGTAAATCACAACAACACACTTTTTTAATAAAGCAAACAAGTGTTAAGAGGTATATGTACGTGTAAACTACAATTACAAAAAATTGATATGAAACCCATGAAACCACCAACAAAAATGTAAAGCTAGCTTCCGTACTAGAACATGGTGTCATTCGTCGAGATAATTTATCGTTTTGTTTAATAGATCAAGAAATGTAAATATTCCCCTGTTATTTTTTATAAAATTATAAGAGAAATAAATTTTTTTCTAAATAGGATAGTTTATTATTTTGTAGAAAAACAAAATTTCGAAAATTTTAGTAATGTTTCAGAAACAACCGTTATTAATAATAGGTACCATTTTCCTTAATAAGGTAGAAATAAAATATAAACTATTTCCACGATTTACAAAGGCCTACAAAAAAATTATAGGTATTTTCCGCTATCCTATAAAATTTATATTTTCTGACTCAATTTCAAAAGGTTGAAGGAATTCCAAAACACCTTTTATGGCATAATAATTATTTTCAATTCTACATACTATCTTTAGCTGCTTTTAAAAACGTTCTAAGAAAGTCCAATCAGACCAATTTAATCCCTAAACTATTCCACACTTTTAAAATTTAATTACCTAAAAATATTAAAAACTATTTAAAATAACTTGTTTAGCAGACTGTACAATAGCTATCTTAGTCACACGTAGCGCGTTCTCTGTCTGGGCGTCGAACACCTCTAGAAATTTGATGAACTGTACACACCAAATATGAAGTGAACAGTGGAATGAATACATCATTGTGTAAAAATTTAAATTTTATTAAATATTCCACAGAGCGCTTTCAGTTTACAAAGCCGTCCTATAAATTGTTGTGTTGTAACAATCAATTAAAATAAAATTACAAAATTTACTACTACTGCATACACCCTCATGAAATCTTAGGTCAAATAAAAACAATTATTATTAAAAATATATGCCAAAAAAAAAGCTGGTTCTGGAAGAAGATACGTAAGCCATAGTTGGTTTGAGATACTATTTTACCAAATCAATTTGAAAAGGAAAAGGCTTTAAAGGGCCATAAGAGATGATGGAAGAGTTTTTAATAAAACATTATTCTGATCATAATTTGTGGTTACAATATGAGTTGTCTACGTTATTTTTATATTCTCTGTTATGAAACTTTAATGAGATCTTTTGAAAAGGCGAAATAAGAGAGAAGATAAATAAATAATTTGGATTTATTATTTTATTATCTTTTTGGTAAAATCTTGGATTTTAGGGGACACTGTATATACAGGGTGGCCCACTGCATTGGAGAAAAATTTTTAGCACAAACATATGTGGGTCCATGAGGAGTATATTCCAAAATTATTTTGGAATAGACAGGCTGATCGAAAGAAGGTACATATCAAAGTTATATTTTTTCTTATGGAACACCATATATTTTTATATATTTTCAGATAATATAGACCAAGTAAAGGTAAGTTACTGTTATATTTCCTATACCTAAAACTGACCGTTTCTGAGAAATTTTGAGAAATTTAAAAATGCAGTCCATAATTTAAAAATTGTCTACACCCTGTAACATGTAACGAGCTGCTCGTAATTAAATTTACTGCTTAGCTAAAATAGAGAGTGGTGAAAAAAATTGCCTTAAAGTTTAATCAAACAAGTTCCTAAAGTTAAATGGAACACCCTGTATTTAGTGGCCTATTTTAACGCAGAATTAGATTCTCTTTAAAAACTATATTAGGGTTTCCTATACCTATCTCTTCTGCTTTTTAAAATTTTACTTATGAATAATTTATTTATCTTAAAAATGAAACACACTGTATTGTAATAAAAGCCTAAAAAGCATTTTTGAACGTATTTTATTGAAAAATTAAGAAACTTAAATAGTAAAAGAATTATTATTTTAATAAATGCTCAAAGTAGTGTCTATTATTCTCGATGCATAAGCGAACTGTGAAATGAGTGCTGAATTCTGGATAACATATTTTGCATTATGGAACGAAACACCCTTCTTATTCGTACTTTCATATCCTGAGGTGTCGTTGGCGGTGTATTGTAAACAATATTTTTGATATATCCCCATAAAAAATAGTCGGGACTTGTTGGATTCGGAGACCTGGCTGGCCAGTTCTGTTGACCTCCTCGTCCTATCCATCAATTTGGATATTGTCGATCTAACTCGTTTCTAACACGTCTATCAAAGTGTGCAGGAGCATCATCTAGCTGCATCCACATGCGTTGACGGTAAGAGGTATAGTTTCCAACAGTATAGACAAATTATCCACTGACCAATTACCAAAATCATATCAATTCGTTCTTCCTGGAGGTAAGTTCTTATTTTAACTAATTAAAATATAATAATCTTTCGAAACGATGATAATTTTAAACAATGATAAATAATAGTTTGATTAACAAGAAATGTCACTATCAAATAATTTTTGTTTCAAAATAATAATTAACGCAATCTAGGCCAAAGCCTACTATTATTAAAAACATAGTAGGATGATATGGGAGATCGTAATTTTGGTGACACATATTAAAATATATGTTTTTATTGGCCCCATAATAATAGTATTTTGCTATTTATTTCATTAATATATTTGCTGAGAAACAAAGGAAATTTAACATATGTCGCCTTTTATTTTAATCCTTATTTTCAAGATTGCTTTAATATTTTACAAATGGCAATAAATTTAAGTTTTTACTTTTGCATGCATTTTGCTTGAGATACACCGTAATTTCAAAAATTTAAAAACGTGCTTTTAGCAAATCTACACTGCGACCTTAATGATTTATTGTAACCCCTTATCGCCAACGCACCAAGAAAATTTCTCAATGCCTATAACGACCCTTACAATCCTATTTTCTCAAGGAAGTGTAGGATTTGAAGTGGCTTCAAGTTAGGTAAATCTCCCTCTTCTATTTAATATCCTCCTAGATATAGTGCCTTGGATTCTGGAGTGCTACACATTCAGTTAGGATGTGAATGGAGGTTTCGTCCTCCTTCTCACAGAATCTGCACTCATTATCCTCTACTACTCTCAGTTTATTTAGGTGTCCTTTTAGTCGGTAATGCCCGGTAAGGATCCCTGTTACAATACGTAGTCTGTTCTTGCTCAGGCAGAGTCAGGATTCCGATCTTTTCTGGTTATATTCACTCATAAGTATCTTGGTCTGTCTCAGCCCCAAGAGATTGTTCCAATTATCGGTTCTTCTACAGCCCAATTCTTTTTTAATTTCTCCTAATATTATGTTACTGTTAATACAGCAGAACGGCTCAGGTCTTATAAAGGGTGTTTGATCCCCTTTCCTTGCAAGACTATCTGCAATCTCGTTACCCTGTACCCCGTTATGTCTCGGTACCCAAGTGAGAGTAACTCTATTTTTCTCTCCTAGCTCATTGCTTTGATGGCTGCTTGACTATCGGACATGATAATAATCTCTTGCCTATGATATTTTCTTTCGATGTTAAACTGGATACACTTCTGGATGACGTGAATTTCCGCCTGAAAGGTATTTTCCCAAGCTTAGTTCTTGGTTCTTGGCCCATACACTCCAATTCCAGTTCCTTCTATGGTTTTGGAACCGTTCGTATACCACTGAATAGCACGTCTTTCGGTAGCATGCGCGATGGCTTCTTGGTTCCATTCTTTCTTGCAGCCCAGCTCTATGGTTTTGAAGTTTTTCACAAAACTGTACTTCATACCATTAGGGCTTTTGTGGCCCTATTTACTACTTCCTTCTCATGAGTGTTCCAGAGAAGTTTACGTGTTCCTTAATGAAAAGGTTTTAAAAATGCTTTTTAGGCTTCCAATCTGTCTTTCATATTTTAGATAAATAAATTATTCATTATTAAAATATAAAAAACGCCTTTTGCGTAAAAATCAGAAGAGGTAGGTATAGGAAACCCTAATATAGTTTTAAAGGGAATCTAATTCTGCGTCAAAATATGCCACTAAATACGGGTGTTCCATTTATTTTTAAGAAGCATTGAGGTAGTATTATAAGGAGACGCGATCACGTGGTAAAAAGCGACATCAGTACGCCATATTGATGCCACACTTGCGTCAAACAGATGTTACATTGTTGTGATTTCATTCAATTGATTTGTACAATCAATTTTTTCTGTTATATCCTCTGTGTGATATTTAAATAATATTGTGAAAGCAAATAATGATTTCATGTGTTCTTCTTAACTGCAATAACCGGAATGCATTTGATAAAAAGAAATCGTCATTTTATAGTATAATATACAAAATGATATTAATAAACAGGGTAGTATTTAAAAAAATATTTTTATATTTCTCTTGTTTCATATACTTACGGTTTTCTGATTATTGTTTAAAAATTTTATTTTATGCTGTGCAAGAGATTAAATTTTCCCATGTAACCCAAAAATGGCAGTAAATCATATTATATAAAATTGTTAATGTTTTAACTAACAAATAAAGCCCAAATAACAAAAATGTTTTCCTTTCAGATTTCCCAAAGGAGAAAATTTTTATTGTGAGTTAAATGAATTAGTTAACAGCAATCATGATTATTTTCCAGACCCTCTGTCACAATTTTCCAAATATATTATTGCTTATATAAGGGGATACATTTTTTTAAATATTTTGTTTTAAATGTAAATCTGCTTTAAAAAGTGACACGAGGGATTTATATCTATTCTCTTTAATATATTAAAAAAGTCAATTACAATATCCCAGATGTTTTGGAGATATGTAGTCAATGGGAAAACGTTTAAAAAACCAATCTTATGAGCAAATATCAGCAGCAACCGTAGTCAATATGATCCATACACAATTTTTAAATAAAAATATTTTTTCAAATTTATTAGTTCATGGTTATGATCAATCAACATTGGATAACCATCGGGTATTGTTATTATAAACTTTTACAGAAAAGTACGTGAATATGCTGCCAAACAAAAATCAAATAGGGAGCACAATAGATCACATTGATTAAAAAAATGCATTGCCTATTCATATGACTCTAGTTAAAATTTAAAAAATATTGTTCAAATTTTAAAATTCCTATAATTTTAGAGAGTAAGGACCTGGCGAGGCAGCCATATTGTTACGACTCTAAGCCACGCCTAATGCGACGTTTTATCTCTCGGCGAAATAATGCTTATAGCGCCTATTTATAATACTACCTCAATGTTATTTAATAAAGTGTATGACCAAACTTTGAGGCAGTCTTTTTCACCATTCTGTATAATATTGAAGTAAAACTTTTATGTGGTAACTAACTTTATCCTTTCAGCTATGCAGTAAATTTAATTACGAGCAGCGCGTTACATGTTATAGGGTGTAAACAATTTTTAAATTATGGTCTGTATTTTTAAATTTCTCAAAATTTCTCAGATATGGTCAGTTTTAGGTATAGGAAATATAACAGTAACTTTATTTGGTCTATAGTAACTAAAAATATAAAAAATATGTGTACCTTTTTTGGGCCACACTGTATATTTGAAAATAATTTTAGAACATGCTCCTCATGGGCCCACATATGACTGTGCTAAAAGTTTTTCCCCAACTCTTTTCATTTCTCGTAGAAAAACCGAGACGAATGTGGTGGGCCACCCTGTATGTAGAGATGTGTTTTAAAAGAAATTCATGTGGTATTCAGTTTAATGATAATTATTAATACTGTGGTTTCAGATCCTACGTTAAAAGGTAATGATTTGGAGGTTTAATAACTAAAATGGGACCAGCTTTGTCAGGATATTCCCTACTTTAAACGCTGAATTATTGCATAATATGTCTTCAGACTTCCCCTCAGCAATAATGTCACAAGCTAGTTATTTATTCATCAACATTAATGACATCTTAAGATCCTGTATGTGATACAATGTCATTTCATAGCATCCTAAGTGTTTTTAGAGGATCCCATGCCACTGAAAACAATCTTTTAAGATTATTAAGGAATTTTGGTGAATTATTAATATCCTCAATTTAGTTTACAATCAATTAAATTAAATTTTTACATATTTTTTACAAACATAACCGAATTATATAAGAGGATTTTTTAAAAAAATATACACAGTTACTTGCAAATTAAACAAATGAGAATACTCTTATGCAGGGTGTTCCGTAATGATTTTTCAATATTTTAACTGGGTGTTTTTCCAACCGTTTAAGGAAGGATTTTTTGATAAAATTTTGCAATTTTAATCCTCTCTGTCGAGATATGTAGGTAACAAAATATTATACGTCAACGTGGAAACAGTATTTTTAAAACTGAAAGAAACAGTCAATTTTTCCTATACGGAATAAAATTTCAAACATTTTTTTTATCATTTTTAGTCCTCACGATTTAAAGCAAATTTATAAATTATTTCAGACAGGCGACAAAGGATGCCGGCACCATAGCAGGCCTCGATGTCCAGAGGATAATCAACGAGCCCACGGCGGCCGCCATCGCGTACGGATTGGATAAAAAATCCGACGAGGACGACAGATACGTTTTGATTTTTGATTTGGGCGGAGGCACATTCGATGTTTCGGTTCTACTAATCTCCGGAGGGATTTTCGAGGTGAAATCCACTGCTGGCGATACGCATTTAGGTATGAAACGATTAAGCGAACTAACGCAACTGTAATTATGAATCGAACAGGTTACCGTGATGAATAGCAATAGCAATTCTTAATGAAACACAATATTTTAAAGACTTATTATTTTCGACTTAACATATAAAGTTAAAAAGTTAATGGGAGCCCCTTTACGCTCCTATTTAGCCTGTAGGCCAAAACGCACTTAAGGCAAGACTGAATCAGCTCTTTTTTACCCTTCATGTTCTGACAAATTTAACTTCGTCAGTCTCTCGACGATATCGAAGATCGTACACAAAGTTCGTACACAAAGTGCCTTTTCCGCGTGCAAAAATGTATCTGTTAATATCTGTGTTTGCGTGTAGTAATACTTTGCGCACTTGTTAGGGAAATAACTATTCCTCATTTTCTAATAGTCCAAGCGGTGGGTAAAGAATAAGGGTCCCCTGACACTACACCTAAGTTTGCGACCTCGGGCGATTGCCGCTCGAGGGGTGGAGGGATGAAAACTCTGCGTCGCGACGCTTTTTGGGCAACAGCGTCGTTGTGGTAAGTGCTATCGAAAAAAAGGTCAAGAAAAATATGTATAGGAGAAAATCGTGCAAAATTTTGACTTTTACATTTTTTTGTCTGCGACCAATAGTTCTCGCTCTACGACGCGCCAAAATAGGGGGTTGATTTGCAATATTCAACAAAATGAGAATTTCAACGCGGATTAAGCTGAAGGTCGCTATAAAACAGTTATGTAATATTTTTTTTTCTAAAAGAGTTATGATTTCTGAGTCTGCAGATACCCGACTTGATACAATTTGTTGAATATAATAAATGCTATGATGATTTGAAGCGCGCCCCTACATACTCCGATATAAATATTTTGTAATTATCAGAATCTACAGTCAATATTTCCTTATTATTGTTAACCTAGGCGCCAAATTTATTCTTTTTGTGCATAAAAAATACAAGAAAGTATCATTTTCAAATCGTTCTCACACCATCCTTGAGGTAGATGTCAAAATTGTGCTCCATTTTATTCTCTATATATTTCATTTGAACTTTTTTCCATAGCACTTACCACAACGGCGCTATTTCTTGAAAAGCGTCGCCACTCCTCAAGCGGCAACCCTCCGAGGTCGCAAACTTAAGTGTAGTATCAGGGGACCCATGTCTACCATCCCACAAAATTTCATTTCTTTCCGACCTTTTGCAAATAGTATCCACCCACGGCTTGGACTATAAGTATTCTGGGCACTACTAAGCAAAATTTTGTATCGATTCAATTCAAGACAATCTCCAAATACATATTTCAAAATCATTTAGGCATGTCAAACGAATGGGACACTAGAAATGTGTTTATATATTAAAAAATCAATGTTTGTTTAAATAGGTTTTAGTAAAACATTAAATAAATTAATTAGGGAAAATTAAGGAGGTCCTTTCGCCACCAATGTTAAATAAAAAATATTAGATTATGACTAAAATTAATTTTTTTCTAATAGTAGATGTCCTTATTTATCTAATAGTGAACTTTTAACTATACCTTACCGTCCAAATTTTTGAGAAAAATTTTTTTTAAAAATGTGTGTGTTTGTACAGTGTCTTATGAGAAAGTAAGACTTCAACAAAAATTTTCGAATTATAATTAATTTTACTATTATTTATTGATTAGATGGAGTAGAAAAAAACTAAAAATAAGGTTTTTGAAATATTTAGGTTTTGTTTTTTACAATAAAATATATAGGTTACCGTGGAATTTATTAAGAAATTATTATTAAAAAAATCACAAAAAATTTTCAACTATGTTACTTGAAAATGTTTTGTGATTTTTTAATATTAATTTCTCAATAAGTTCCACGGTTTACTATATATATTTTATTGTATAAAACAAAATCTAAATATTTCAAAAACCTTATTTTTAGTTTTTTTCTACTCCATCTAATCAATAAATAATAGTATAATTCGAGAATTGTTGTTGAGGACTTACTTTCTCGTGAGGCACTGTACAAATACTCACATTAAAAAAAAAAAAATTTCAAAAATTTGCAAGGTAAGGTATAGTTAAAAGTTCAGTATTAGATAAATAAGGACTTCAATAATTAGAAAAAAATTAATTTTAGTCATAATCTAATAACTTTTTTTTAACATTTGAGGCGAGAGGTGTGGCGAAAGGACCTCCTTAAAACTTTATATACGAGGTATATAAAATAACGAGAGAGAAAAAGTATGCATGCGCCAAACGCGAAGGACTAGCATGAAGTCTTCTCTTTCGAATAAGATGCTCCTGTGTCTATAAACAAATTAGTCTGCCCGTGGCCTTCATTTGTTTTTTTGTATTTTCGGAAAAATTATGTTTTATTATTACATTAGTACATAATGTACTTTAAGTTTCAGGGTTTCAGGGTGATTCACAATGTATAGTCGTCAGATAAGCATATTTTTAAAATGTAAAAAATTATATAATACACATTTTTTATAACATAAAATTATTTTTTTTAAGAATTAATTCATTAACCTGTAGGTACATATTAATTGAGTTTTGGGAAGGTACTGACTATTTAAATATGTGTACCTCTAAGCTTGAAATTATATAATTTGATTTATTTGTTTGAAGATATTCCATTTTAAAAAAAGTACAAAAACCACGAACACCCTTAATTCTAAAATGTCTCCGGTAAAATGTAACCATATTTTTTAGTATATAATGCTTTTAGCACCTTTTTATGAAACGTGAATTTTAAATTCGAGATACAGTGCGTTAAAGTGGAAAATTCCTGATTTTAGTTATTTTTTCTTCAAATTGAAAAGCTAAATTTACTTTATGTAGCATATATAAGTTTAATATAAGTTTTGGTTGGTCAGCTGTCCATAAAAAAAACCGTTTAAAATATTTACTGTTACAGGGTGATTAACGAATAAATCACACTATATTTTTGAAACTATATTGTCCCGTGTATAAAAACATGTCACAAATATCGGAAAATGATGTATACACTGACATATTTTGTTAATTATGAAACAGTAAGATTACCCCGTATATTTTAAAATCTAATCTAACATTATAAACTTATTCAAAAGTCACTAAAGAAATGTAAGGCATTTTTTAATAATTTTAAAACAATTTGTGAACGGGTAGATACTAACTCAATGAAATAATTTCTTTGTGGCGCAACTGTAGAAATATTGAGTGTTTGTAAAAATATATTGTATTTATTCGTGAATCACCCTGTAACAATTTTTTTTAAACAAAATAGACATCTCACCAAAACTTATATTAAACTTATACGGTGAGCACCATAAGTCTTACCCCCCCAATCTAACTCGTTACTGGAGTCTTGTTAGGAAAATCGCCGACACACGTCGATTTTTGATTTCTACAATATACATTTTTATATAAATAGTTTACCCTTAATTTCGTCCCTTACTGGAGGGGAGCAACCCTTTCGAAAAATTTAAATGGCATGGGGTGGTGAGTGATAGTTCATTTGAAAGAGGGTTTTATTCTCTATTCAACCGTGTAAAAAAAATTTGAAATTTGCTTCATTAATTCTCAACTAATTGTTGTTTCAGAATAACGGAAATTAACGTAGCGGACTTATCTTTAGAATTAAAATTCGGCCCTGCATGACTTCCGTTTTGGTTCAGACGTGAAGTAAGACTTTTTGCCATTAAAAGGTCACTGTTAGTCTAGTTGCTTTCCTATTTTGTGAGGTTTTGTTATTTTTAAACATTAATAAATCAACATGTAATGATGCAAATTTCAAAATTTTTTTGCACGGTTGAATAGAGAATAAAACCCCCTTTCAAATGAGCTATCACTCACCACCCCATGCAATTTAAATTTTTCGAAAGGGTTTTTACCCTCCAGTAAGGGATGAAATTATGGGTTAACTAATCATGCAAAAATGTACATTGTAGAAATTAAAAATCGACCTGTCTCGGCGATTTTCCTAACAAGACCCCAGTAACGAGTTAGTTAGGGGGGGTAAGACTTAAGATGCTCACTGTATATTCTACATAAAGACAATCTACGTTAGAGGTACACATATTTTAGTGGTATTACCTTTCCCAAAAATCAATTAATAAGTCAGGGTTGTGAATAAGTCCTTAACAAATAATTTTATGTGGTTCCCACTACATAAGAAATGTTTACTGTGCAATATACCAAAATACCATATTAAGTAGTACTTTTTGAAAATATGCTTCCCTGATGTCACAGTAGAAATAGTGAAATTTTGCAAAAAACTATCCTCACACATTTGAGAATCACCCTGTAATTAAAAATATTTTTAATTATACGTATGTAATAATATATTACTAAAACATGTATTGAACGTGAGTATGCAATACAAATTCAGTCTAGCTCGTAAGTTGGAAAATAAAAATTCCGAAAAACTGGACAATTTTTAACTTTAACGTATATAATATAAATACGATAATTTTCGTACATCTGGGCAACGCTGCTCTCATCATTCCTATTAATATTCCGGCCAAATAGTGAGAGCAAAGACAGTAATGTCTTTGAGTGAGAGAGTACTCGCCTACTATCCTACTCGCATAGTTACAAGAATACGGCCCCTGGTATTAGATTAGCCGGCTTATTCGTCTGACCTTGTACCATGAGAATTCTGTCTAGTTCCCAAAGTCAAATTTGCATTAAAGTGAACAATATTTCCGCCCGTTGAAGCTGTGAACGAAAAATCAGCACGCGTCATAAAGGAGCTCACAGAAAAATACTGTTAGCACTGTTTTGAACAACAGAAAATTTCGCATGAAGCATTGTAGGGATATGTTGAATGTGATAAAAACTAAAAATGTATAAGTTTAAAATCAAATGTTTTACCGTAATAGTCTCGGTATTTTATAGCCACACCTCGTATGCTTTTTTAAATGATAAAAAAATTATGTCAAAAGCTGTTTCAAATGCTACATTAAAACCGATTAAAACGTAAATATTATTTAGGTATTTTTTAAAGGTGGACAAGACATCGATACGCGCTTGGTTCAATATTTCACGGAAGAGTTCAAAAAGAAAAATAAAATCGATATTAGTGACAATAAGCGGGCAATCCAAAGACTAACAGCTGCTTGTGAAAGAGCTAAAAGGACACTTTCATCTACAACTCAATCATCCATAGAAATTGACTCTCTAGCTGGCGGATTTGATCTTTATGCAGAAATCACTAGAGCCAAATTTGAAGAGGTATAGTGTTTTGGTTTTTTTTTTTAATTATGTGGTTTTAATATTTTGTCACAGTATAGACTGCTATGGTCATTATCCTATTTTCTTCCACATTTTGCAGACTTGTATCTTTCGACACAATTAAGGTATCACGATGTGGTTTTTACGGTCTTAAGCACACTTATCGTATATCCAAAAACACATTTTTTGACGGGCACAAATATTATATCATGGAGATACAATTTTTGTGAATTTTGGTAGGTAATTTCTGACAGATACAAATATTATATGGTGCTTACAACAAATGTGTACTAGAAACTGTAATTAAATGACTTAATTCTCAGTTTTAAATTTCAATTTATTGTAGTTTGGTGGGTGTTGGAGCTACAATGTTTGAGCCCAATGAATAAGGCTAAAATGCGATTTAATTGGTACCAAGATCATCATAACAATAAATTTGGAGTTACAATATGTGTGCTTTAGATCGACGAAGTAGGGTTATTTATTTTATAAGGGTATAACGGAAATGAAATTACAATTGCGTCGGAATATCTTAAATGGTTCGGATACAACTCCTCAAAATTTGGAAAATATAGTTAGGTGAAAAACTATAGTGCGACACCCGGTATTTTAAATCTTTTCAACAATAAACATAGGCAAGAGGTAGACAAGATGAGGGCAGGGATATGAAGTCAGTTGAAAAGATCGTCTCTCTCAAAATGTGAACGTTGGCGTTAATATTAATATCAAGAAAAATAAATAACAAATTCTAAACAGTTGTATCTGAAAAATCTCTATATCTATGATTTAAATCAACATAGAATTTTTATTTTGAAGATTTGCTAATATATAATTTGTTAAACATTTACAGATTAACAATGATATTTTTATGAGAACACTGGAGCCTGTAGAAAAGGCAATTAAGGATGCACGAATTAACAAGAAACAGATAGAAGATGTAGTGTTAGTAGGAGGAAGTACTAGAATTCCAAAAATACAAACATTACTTTCAAATCTCTTTCAAGGCACGTATATCACTCATTTTCTGCAAGAACGTCTTAACTCAAAAATTGTAATTTTTTAAGAAATTAGATTAGTTACTAACACATTAGACATCGTGAACAGAAGCTCTATTATCTGATCAAGTGTCACATCTAAACTTTTTTTAATTCCGTTAAATAATGCCTAAGTCAGTATTAAAGATTTTATTATCATCTCAATACTATAATGACAATATCGTCCTATTTTAGTTGCTGAGTAACTTTTGTGATGAAACTGTCTCTCAGATATGAAACCCACTGTTTTATTTTGTATTGTTACTACAGTTGCAATAATAGATTATAATATTTTATTACTCTCCTGTAAAAACGACATTTTTGTGTTAGGACGTTCTTGCAACAAATAAATGCATTTTTAAATTTGCTTTTCTATATCTAAAATTAGTCAGATGGTGATTTAATTTAATTTAATTTCACCATAGATACAGAAATGTTTGAAGAGTTTTTTTTGCATTTTGGTTTATTTGATAATATAATTTTAGGTAAAGAATTAAATAAGTCCATAAATCCAGATGAAGCAGTGGCCTATGGAGCAGCCATCCAAGCTGCCATTTTGGCAGGTGATCTTCATGATGCTGTAAAAGATGTATTGCTTCTAGATGTAACACCGCTTTCATTGGGTAAAGTTATTGAAATAATCCGTACATTTCTTAAAGGGTATAGTAAACAAGTTCTCGAAAACAAAGGAAAAAACACAAAATAAAACATACAAACGAACAAAAACAGTATATATAAAATAAATTTAAATTATAGTGTGCAAGATTTTAAAATTTTTAAGCAGTATTATCAAAAGTTTTAGTTTAAAGAGATTTTCTCTCCGAAAAATATACTTACTTACCTTCAAAATTTTAAGTTTTTTTGCGACATCAATTTCCGCGGTCATTGGCTTATAAAAGTATTCACTATATTACCAATATCTAAACCCCATTTAAATTAAAAAATATATATCAGAAATAAATAAACTTAACAAAAGTAGACTTAAACCACTCCTTCTTAAATATTCCGGTAACACATTTCCCCTGGAATATTCTGGTAGTCACGTAAAAAACTTTGGTTAGTCCATCAGTGCATTTAATTCTTACGAAAGCAGTTTAATATAATTAGTATAAACATATATTTCATTACAGACAAAAATCCATAAATACGCAACATCGAGATAGAATAAAGGGGAGACGCTATGACATACTAAAAGTGTCCGCACTTTTCCATTAGCATTACATTTTTACGTCATGTGTCAAACTAACGTGACCTAGTCAGTTTGATTACCATTTTGGTGAGAATAAACGCCTTTTTTTGTAAATAGCTACATTTATATCTAATAAAAAGTTGTTTATTTTAATTTTAAATAATGGTATCATGTGCTATAAGAAGCTGTTGCAGCAGTGACAGCGTTAATAAGAAAAAAACTTCAGAAATTACATTTCATACGTAAGTCATAGGCATATTCTTAATAATTATAAGGACCGTATTCTTGATTTTTGTTACAATGTTTCTGTGTTGATTAAACATAATTTACTTTTCAAATAATATAAGTATATCAATCTTGCTAGTTTAGATTCTGATAAAAATGTAATGATAATTTTAAATCAGTAGTGATGCCCATATAAATTATTGGGGCTATAAAGATCATATTTTATGCTATTCCTGTAGGTACAGTTAAGGAATAAGTTTTAAATTTTCACATCGCTAAATGTACAAATACTTTCCAATACATTTCCAAAGAACTTTATACTTGAATTATAGATTTCTGAAGAACTCTGTAACGCAGGGGGTAGGTTGGCTCAGTGGTTAGAGTCATGACTTTGAGATCGGAAGGTCTCAGGTTCGAATCCCACCGTTGGCCGGGATTTTTTCATTTATTTAATTATTTAAAATTAATTCTGATGCCTTGGTAGGATTCCCCACTCGACCATTCACTGTTGGGGGTTCTGATTAACAGTGCTGTTCCTAAAGTGGCGCTGGGAAACAGTGAAAAATCCTACACAGAACCCGAGGCTAATGGCCGTAGTAGTCGACGCCGATGACACCAAATAAAAAAAAAAACTCTGTAACGCGGGATTCATGGATTGGATTTGTAAATAGAGTAGAATGGAAACCTTCAAAATATAGTGTACTATGCTCTAAACATTTTGACGAAAACTGTTTCGATAGAAATTCTGTATATTTTGTTCGTCTAAAAGATTATGCGATTCCGTCTGCTGAATCCAAATTTAAATATCAGGTAAAAGTTTAGTTCTCTTATCAGATGTGGTCGGTCACATGAAACGATTAAAAGGAACCAAAACTGGTTAACTCGTATGCTTAGACTAGTAAAGAAAACTGATATTTCGTGCAAATTTTTTATTGAAATAGCGAAGCCCTTTCGACATTCAGCCATCTTAAGTGCTTATCGTCAAGCAAAAGACGTCCACTAATATCGGTTGCCATCGTTATTTCAATAATGAACTATTGAAGAATCCCACCTTGCTAAATCACCATTTTTAATAAATTGTTAAAAAGTTTATTGTAAATTTGTTAATAATTTAAAATTTAAGACCTTTTGACATTCGATGGCTGCCCAGTTAATTTAATCATGGTCAATAGATAAGGTTGCAAATTAGATCATCGCAATCTAAAAACTACATTTACTGATCCCAGTTCTCAAGAAGAGGTTGCGGTATTTTTGGATCCTTCACATATGGTCAAATTAGTTAGGAATACCTTAGGTGATAAGTACTCATTTGTAAACAGTGATAATGTACTGATAGAGTGGAGATATTTTATGAAATTGCAAGAGCTACAAGAAGAAGAAAACTTTCATCTTGCAAACAAATTAAGAAAATAACATATAGTATTTAAACAACAAAAAATTAAGGTAAAGCTCGCAATACAGTTGTTTAGCGAAAGTGTAGCAACTTCCTTACTTTTCTGTAAACAGGTTTTAGATATAAAATAATTTGAAAATGTTAATGCAACTATTGAGTTTTTTGAAATTAATTAATAATTTATTTGATGTTCTGAATTCGAGAATCTCCTTCAATTTGGTTGAAAAAAACCTTTATCCACAAAAAATTTTGACAACATTTCAACATTTTTGGATATGGCCGATAAATATATTGACGGCTTAAAAACACATTGCAATGGGCAATTATTATTATTATTAGACAGTGGGAGGCATACAGGATTTTTAGGATTAAAAGTTTGTTACGGGTCAGAAATTTATCGTACTCAAATAATTAGTTATGATTATTAGTTCATAATTAGGGTTAGTAAACATTAAATAAATAAAAAAATAACTCACCTAAATTTGTAAATAGTATTCAACAAGATTAATAGACTTTTGTACTTTTATCAATTTATTAAAATCTAACCTATACATATGTAGATTGTTTATTTACATGCTAATGTCAAATCTTGACCATGGCCTTGTAATAATTCTTCTCTTCTTCATTTTAGTGTAATTTAATTAATTAGGTCAATAATTAAGCTGTTTATTGGCAGATTAGCCTTATCAATCAGGTACATGTTTATTCTTGGTGTCTGAGGTTTTATCTCTCTCTCTGGGTTCTCTGTCATTTCCTTTTTAGTTGGTTTTTGGGCCATGTGGTCTGTGTTTGATATAATGAATATTTTCGGATTTTTTACCACCCCTAAAAGGGAGTTCCATCAAAATACTTATAAGTATTGCTTGTAATATCAAGAAGATTTGTATTTCACGTATTGTGGATTTGCGATACTTAAAAAGAAAAGGCCCTACCTTACTCGGTAAGTCACCCAGACACAATTTAAATTGCATGCACCTCTATCTGGCTTTATTTATGCTTTTAGGCCTATTAGCTATTAGTTGTAGTTACGATACTATTCTGCATTAGTATTACCATCATCTTCGACTGCTTTTATCAGCTAGACAAGGCCTATTAGAGTTACAATACTATTATGCATTACCATTATCATACTATCACCTTCGACTGCTTTTGTCTGCTAGACAGAGTACTCCTGAGCTTATTACTTCCGCTTATTGACTGTTCTTGGGCTTGCGAATGTTACAGTACATGTAACTAACCTGCTATCCTTGGAAGGCCACACTCACCCTAAAACGGAAACGATTTGAGGGTTAATTATAAAGATTAGATTAGTACATACAGATATTTAAAAGAACTGCATAATAATTTCATAGAATCAAATAAAAGAATACATACTCATCTACTCGTTGTAAACAAGTAGTACTACTTGGGCCTGAGGGGTAAGAATCTTGTAAATAGTAGATAAATTGTACATATAGTCATAATTTCTTGTCTTTTAATCTGCCAAATAGTCAGCAATTTTGGGAACTTTGTATATAGACACACTCTATTTCTGTAACAAAACCAGTGTTTGAGCAATTGAGTAAAAACATCAGTGAATAGAGTTTACCTGATTTATTTTTCCACGTCCCAACTCTCCAGATGAAATTTATAAACCTGAGCTAGCTATTATATAATTTCACCCCCTATCAATCGAGGGAGCAATGTAATAAGTTTGTATCCACAGTATTAAATGTTTATTTAATTCTTTAGTTGTGCAAAACAATTTATTATCTTTCTTTCTAATATATAGAATCTCCCAGGATAACTTGGAATTATTTTTTTGTTCGATCCGTTCACATGGGGGTTATAATAATAACCCCACAGTAAGACAATTCGTGTCAGCCTATAAAAAGCTACTCGCCATGTAGAGTTGTGTGAAAGTTTTCGTGGGAATTGTATACCCTTAGAGGAGATTAGTATTTTAAAGTGCGATGTAGTCAGACAACTTAATATAACATCAACTGGATATTCATTTTCCACCCAACCACAAGATTATAAAAATGATCCCTTAGAAATTATTAAAGCCATCGAATTAGATCACAGCTATATACCAGATCCATATATGACTCCATTTTCAAAACATGTAATTACTTACATCGCGGGATCTTCATTCTATAAATAAAAAAATATATTTTGAACAATGTTCTCAAGCACTAATAAGTGATACAAAAAATATTAATATATATATTCATTCATAGATATGAAAAATAAAAACAAATTGCATTACCCATCAGAAGATGTTATCGCTATCTGTATGACATGTGAAAAGCTTTGAAAAATCAGATTAGTTTCTGAAAAACAGATTTCACTTGATATTTTGATTCAGTTAGTATCTATTAGGAGAATATATTTACATTTTCAATTCTTATACAACATGGATTCGATCAGTCAGTTTTTGATAATCACAGAACAATATTAATTAAATTTGTTGCAAGCAGGTATCTAAATGTAAGAATGTGCTATTTATCAAAAAATAAAGCAAATAAGAAAATTAGCATCACCCAGATAAAATCATTTATTCTAATTAAAAAATATTTTTTGGAGTTATAAGAAATTTTTTTTAAAAATACATTATATTATTTTCTTAATATTAGTTAAACATTTTCATTCCGACAATTTTCAAATAATATAAAATTACTGACTTCAAATCAATCAAAGTACTACTCTGTCTACGTCGCCATTTTAATTACATTTTTCTGTCATTCTTAGCATCGCGCTAAGTGCGTCCATATGTCTTATCGCAAAATAGTGTTTATGTCGTGTCTACTTTATTCCATCTCAATGATGCGCAACTATACATTGAATTTCACAGGTTTTATCACCGTTCCCACCGTCGGGACATTGTATAACTTGGTCATCCCCCTTTCCTGCATTAACTGCTCAAAATCTTTTTGCAATCAGATATATAAGGACAAGTAGAAATTTTAAATTCCCCTGGAGTTGATGAATTTTACAGAGAATGAAAACTTTAAAAACTAAATAGTCAGTAGAGTAGATATATGAATACTAAAATCTAATAAAAATATATTCACTACACAGTTAGTAACAAGAAAAATATGTGAATATTATAAAAAAAAAAAAAATATCTACAAATCTAAATATCTTAAATTTTTACGACATATAAAGCGATTTTTTTTCGATCTTCTATGCTTTCGATCTTTTGGATTTTAATCTATTCGATTTCGATTTTTTTTTCTTGTTTTCGATCATTTCTATGTCGATCTCTTATTCTAGGCCCAATTAAAGTCAATTATACCGGGAGTTCTAATTAATGTGTTACAGTTAAATACCGCCGAAAATATGCATTTTATAAAAAAAAGTTTCAGACTAAAGTTTTATTGTTTTTTAAGGGAAACATTTTGGCAAAATTCATTTTTTTATAGCTGACCATAATATAGCCGTATCGAGGTGGACTTTTTTATTTCAAATGGGAACCTCACTTATTTTACATATTTTTAAAGTACATAAAAAAATAAGAAACTTTTTAAAGAAACATTTTTTTATTGGACTTTTACTTATTGAGTAACACCTACTTGAAAATTGTGCTGAGAAAAAAAAAAGGCCATATTATAGTTAGCTATAAAAAAAAGATTTTAGCCAAAATGAGTACCCCAAAAATTATAAAACTTTCGTCTGAAATGTTTTTTTATAAATAAAAGTATTTAACTGTAACACTTTAATTTGAACACCCGGTATATAGGTAAAATAATTTATCTAATGTATTCGACAGAAAGCAATTTGCTCAAAATTTTGTGAAACGATATATTTTATATGACATTTTTCGTTCTTATTGTTTTTATAGGCATTGAAACTGCTGGCGGTGTAATGAGTATTCTAATTAAAAGAAACACAACTATACCGACTAAACAAACACAAGTTTTTTCAACTTATTCCGACAATCAACCGGGCGTATTAATTCAAGTTTATGAAGGAGAAAGATCAATGACGGGCGATAATAACCTTCTAGGAAAATTCGAATTATCCGGTAAGAATACCCAAATAACAATTATATATTCTTAGCATATTTTTAATATATACGTTTTAAGAATATGCATATGCTGAAAATATACTTTATTTGTATTTAGAACAATCTAAATATGTTACAGGACGTTGTTTATACGTGCTATGTAATTATAATGAATGTACTCAAGCACGTGTACAGTATTCAATAAGTATCTACTTTCATTTGATAGTACGTTCTAAATATTATGCTAAGTACAGTTCATCAAATTTCTAGAGGTGTTCGACGCCCAGACAGAGAACGCGCTACGTGTGACTAAGATAGCTATTGTACAGTCTGCTAAACAAGTTATTTTAAATAGTTTTTAATATTTAGGTAATTAAATTTTAAAAGTGTGGAATAGTTTAGGGATTAAATTGGTCTGATTGGACTTTCTTAGAACGTTTTTAAAAGCAGCTAAAGATAGTATGTAGAATTGAAAATAATTATTATGCCATAAAAGGTGTTTTCGAATTCCTGCAACCTTTTGAAATTGAATCAGCAAATATAAATTTTATAGGATAGCGGAAAATACCTATAATTTTTTTGTAGGCCTTTGTAAATCGTGGAAATAGTTTATATTTTATTTCTACCTTAATAAAGAAAATGGTACCTATTATTAATAACGGTTGTTTCTGAAACATTACTAAAATTTTCGAAATTTTGTTTTTCTACAAAATAATAAACTATACCATTTAGAAAAAAATTTATTTCTCTTATAATTTTATAAAAAATAACAGGGGAATATTTACATTTTTTGATCTATTAAACAAAACGATAAATTATCTCGACGAATGACACCATGTTCTAGTACGGAAGCTAGCTTTACATTTTTGTTGGTGGTTTCATGGGTTTCATATCAATTTTTTGTAATTGTAGTTTACACGTACATATACCTCTTAACACTTGTTTGCTTTATTAAAAAAGTGTGTTGTTGTGATTTACGTCGAAATAAGTCAAAAACAACTTGAAACCCCATATAAAATCAAAAAGGAGAAACGGAAAAAAATTGAGCCTGTAAATGAACACAACTCAGAAACAAAAATAGCTACCTTATAATAAAAAAATAAAATTTGATTCTTGTGCATCTATATCATTAACTGTTTTTGGTTTTTTAATGGTTTTTCTTGGTGATGAAAATTCCGATATCTCACGGTTATCGATTCTTTTTTTCTCTCCAGAAATGCGGACGACAGTGTTGTTAGATACTCCTGTGGCTGCAGCAACACGATCATTTACATTTTTAAATGGTATTGAAGGTGAATTAAAGTTTCCTTCTCTTCTCATAAACTCTATAACATTGGCTATTATTTCGCGAGATTGACTGTTAATCACGCGGCCTCTTAATTTGCTATTAAACTCCATACTTAGGTTCTATTAAACTGTAATGAGCAAAAAACACAAACGAAAATAAAAGAAATGTTTTAGCGAAATTTACATCTGACATTTACGTCTGAATGAAATAGTGAAATAATTGATGCGCAGAGTGTACTTTCATTGCGTAAATCCGTCGGGATGCCTGTCAGTAGTGCTTTCTCTGTCTAGCCGTCGAAAGCCTCTAGAAATTTGAAGAACTGTATTTAGGTTTAGCATAGACTAGGTATACAGGGTGGACCGGATTTAATTTGCGTATACAGAGATCTCGTAAACCATACAACCATAATTCGTTCTTCATTAGTCTTGTTTGCTGGTTGTACTTAATCATGTTTGATAAAAAATTATAACCCATTTTGTAATTAAATAATTCTTGTATTATGTTTCAAATAATATTTTAAATTTCACATTTTAAGCATTTGTTGTTTCTTAATTATTATTTAATTAGCTATCTTGTTTTTATCAAGTAAGAAACGGTATCATCAGAAGCTACATAGCAGATGATATATTCATAAACGAAACGTAGTAAAATGGTAAAGTGTAACATATCGTTGTATTTAGCTATACAAAAGCTATAAAAATTACAGTTAAAAATCCAGGTCCTTATTTAAAAAAATAAATTGAAGGTGGCCCTGGAAATACGAAACGTCGTAATAAAAATTTTTATATGGCAGATTATAGGAAACTTGATTTATAACAAAAACTTCGTATAATTTTTTTTGTATCTTTTATAATAACAACGCACGACTTAAAAAACGAAAATGAGGTTTTGCGGATTTTGTCAAATATCTCCGGAACTAGTCAAAAAATCTGGAACTTCTATAGACCATTGTATTATCCGTCAAAATACGAAACTTTTTCCCCATTTAACCGACAATGTATTTCTTACGGTTTACGAGATCTATGTATACGCAAATTAAATCCGGTACACCCTGTATACTGGACTCCTAACCTAACCTAATACATAATGTTTTATTAATTTTAAACATTAAACAATCAAGAGTGAATATAATAATAAACGTGCCAATTTTTATATCAATTATTAATTTTTATTTTTATTACAAATTTTTTTCTTTGACCTTAACCATACAATATTTATTTGAATCGATGGCTTGAGTTTCATTTACTTGTTTATATTGGATGTTCATTTAACCTTACATTTCTTTGCATTAGTAAAAGGGTTCTTTTTATGCATTATTAAACGTCAATTTATAATAATTAATTTAAAGGTATCCCTCCTGCTCCTAGAGGAATTCCTCAAATCGAAGTAACCTTTGATTTGGACGCTAATGGTATTCTTACTGTGAATGCTCGAGAAACTGCCACTGGTAAAAAGAGTAACATTATCATCACGAACGATAAAGGCAGACTAAGCAAAGATCAAGTAGAAAAGATGGTAAGAGACGCCGAACGGTATAAAGAACAAGATCAAGAAAAACGAGCCTGTATTGCTGCTAGAAATGAATTAGAATCGTAAGTAAAATGATTATTATTCTTAAACTCACAATTTCTAAGATAATTATCTACTCTTCCTGGCATCTAAAATAATCAATTAGCACATAATGCACGTAAAGAGAATCGAAGCTCAAAGTTACCCAAATACGATGTCGCCATCTATATATTGTATCCATTTCGGGCCAATAATAATTCCTTAAAGTTGAAATACCAGAACTAGCAGCTTAGCTAGTTTTTCAGATCAATACCTTGTAGGTAAACTGCAATATGTAGACATAGTGCAGTTTTATAAAAGTTATATTTTTTAACAGCTTCAACAATACCTTTTTAAGTACACCATGTATGAGTCCACACGAATCTGTCAAAAGAGCACAATATCCAGATGGGATGGATGGCTCAGCTTCTATCTAGAAGAACTGCAGAGATACAGATAAAGCAGGACACAACCAGAGGATGTCCACAAGAAAGAGTTCTATCCCCACTTATGTGGAGCCTAACCGCAGACGAACTTCTATGCAGATTGACTCACCTCGGCGTACCATTTCAAGGTTATGCCGATGACAGTCATATTTGCTAGAAATATACTATGTGATATAGTCCAAAGAGGACTAGAATACACCAAAAGATGGTACCAAGAGGTTTTATTTAGTATAAACCCCACCACAATATTACTAGTAGCCTTTTCAAGGAAAATAAATTTTAATCTTAAAACTGTCCAATAAGACAGGATCGATATAGAATGGAAAATATTACTCAAATATCTAGGCCTAATCCTATAAAACAAACTTCTCAGGAACATACATAAGAAGTAGTAAATATGCTCACAGAAGTCCTATTTATATACATAACTTTGCGGGTAAAAGATGGGGATGTAATCCGAATATACTGCGATAGATGTATACAACAAAAGTGAGACCAATCATCACTTATGGGGCTATAGCCTGGAGTAACAGAAAGTTTAACTACTACGAGAGCTAATATCTCAAAAGTACAAAGACTGGCCTTTGTTTATATCACTGGTACAATGAGAACCTGTCGTACAGTCGCAATGGAGATGTTTTTAAACCTTACCCCTCTACATTTAATGATAGAGAACGTGGAAAAAGATATAGAAAGAACAGGAACAGAGTAACCAGACAGAAGTCTATCAGCTTCAGGATCAAAGATAGTTGGGATATGCCATAGGACGAAATGAGATAGAAGTACAGTTTTGTGAAGAACTTCAAAATCACAAAACTGGACTGCAAGAAAAAATGGAACCAAGATGTATCGTGCATGCAACCGAAAGACATGCCATTCAGTGGTATACGAATGGTTCCAAAATCATCGAAGGAAGTGGAATAGGAATGTATGGACCTAAAACCAGGCACTCTGAAAATTTGGGTATGTATCCAAACAACTTCCAGGCGAAAATTATCGTTATTGAGACTTGTATCCAGTTCAATATCCAGAGAAACTCTCGCAGACAAGATATTATCATCATTTCCGATAGCCAAGTAAACATCAAGAGCTAAGCTCTTACGTAATCAGCTCAAAAATGATCTGCAGATGCCTAGGAAAACTAAATGAGCCAGGGACAGGAAAATACAGTTACTCTTACTTGGGACTCAAACACCCTTTGTGGGACCTGAGCCATTCTGCGGTATCAGTAGTAACCCAATATTGGGAGAGATTAAAAAAGAATTGGACGGTAGGATAACCAATAATTGGACAAATCCCTTGGGGTTAAAACAGACTAAGATACTTCTAGATTAAATAACCAGGAAAAATCAAAAGCCTGTATCAGCCTGAGCAAAAGCAAGCTACGCATTGTAACATGAATCTTTACTGGGCATTGCTGACTCAAAGGAAACCTTAGCAAACTAAAAGGAGTAGAAGATAGTGAGTGCAGATTTTGCGAGGAGGAGGATGAAACCTCCACATTCTGAATAAATGTGTAGAACTCCAGAATATAAGGGCACTATGCTTAGGAGCATACCAAATTGAAGAGGTCGATCTACCTAACTTCAAATCCTACACCTCCTTATGTTATGTTATGTTATGTTATGTTATGTTGGGAATGGGGTGTTAATACACTGCGACCCAAAAGATCTATTGTGCCCCTTCTGTCGCCAATACATCAGGGAAATATCTCAATTCCTATAACGACCCTTCCAATTCTATTTTCTCAAAGTGTAGGATTTGAAGTGGCTTCAAGTTAAGTAAATCTCCGTCTTCTATTTGATATGCTCCTAGGTATAGTGCCCTTGGATTCTGGAGTAACACACATTCAGTTATAATGAGAATGGAGGTTTCGTCGTCCTCCTTACAGAATATGCACTCACTATCTTCTCCTTAAAAAGATAGGATTAGAAGGGTCGTTAGAGGCATTGATAATATTTTCTCGAAGTATTAGCGACAGAAAAGGGCACAATAGATCTCTTAGGCCACAGTGTAATAATACCCCATACCCAACATAACATGTTTTAGTGGTCACAAATAATATATCACTATATTTTTTAAACTTACGATGTAAATCACACACCACGCTATGTACTTATAGTCTTTTCAACTCATTAAATTTATCAAAATGTCTATGAAAACATAGAAATCTAAGAGGTATATGAAACCATATCATAGAAAATGTATTATCAATACATAGATATATGTCATAAAAGTCAACAATTTATGCAAGTTAAAAAAGTTTTATTGGTAAAAATACATATTGTGATTCTAATAGGATGTCTTACTTTATTTCTTGACAAAATATAATCATATGTAATTATGGAAAACAAAAAGTGTCCAAACAACATTTAATGTGCTTTACAAAAAGGTTGACTGGAAGACATAATGCAGTTTACCTCCGAAGTATATGAACCACGTGTCACGATCCACCCATGTTAATTTTATCCCCGGTTTGCCCTAATTGTTTGTGTTACAGCTGTACCCGACTAAGTTGTCGATCATCCTATATATTTGTACAAATATTTTAGGTATGTATATCAAATAAAAACCGTAGTAAATGAACCACAAGTAGCAGTCCTCCTAAATCCAGATGATTTGACGAAAATGAACAGATGCTGCGACGGCATTAACGAATGGCTAACAGATCCTGCTATAAAATCGGAAAGAGATTACGCTATGAAGAAACAAGAGTTGGAAAACATTTGTAAACCTATCATTGTACAGATGTATAGCGGTGCAGCAGGAATAACGGAATCTTCTGATAATATTCCTCAAGCTTTTAGAGAGAGCTCACGACAACCTCCTAGAGATAGTGATGATCATGATGGTTCAGGTGGTCCTATTATAGATGAAGTGGATTAATTTGATACATTATTAAATCTAAATGTACGTTCATACATCATTAAAACATAACATTTTACAATTATTTGATTTACTTCTATCCTCACAAGCTCAATCGACTTCAGGGCTTGAAATTCACTCGTAAGGGGCTGAATTATGGAGATTCAACCAAACTCTAGCCGTAAGGCCGCGCTAGCAGTTACAGTGCCTTCGCAACCCATTGCCATTTTTTGCAAAGTGAAAGTTTTGTTGAATGAACTTTTTATTAGAGGTAAATATTTTAACACGCTCATTGGTTGGTTCTTGTTTAATACAATTAATTGTTTTCCGTATAAATAGCAATTTTTTATTTTTGTCCCACGTTTATTCAATTATCATTTACCCAATATTGTTTAATTTTTTTAGTACTATCATTGGTAATAAATCCAAACTATATAATCAAATAGGAAGCTCACTATCTGTCTAATGTTGTGTTTCATGAGAATATATTATTATTTAATTGTCACTTAAGTTGTTATTAAAGAGGATATATTATCAAATAGAAAACTACCATTTGTTTAATTGGTTATTTATACATTTAAAATTAATTGTTTCTAGTAACAAACAAAAAAAAACAGAACCTTACATTTTCGAAACTTGTACAATCAGACAATACTGTATGGTAGTAATTTCATAAATAATCGATGACGTGCATCGGTTTTTAAATAAAAAAACGATATATGGGTGGGTGTACAGGGCCCCAATTTTCGAGCTGTGTGAAATGTTCACTCGTTGGATAATTCACATGAAATTTGCACAAATCGTATTCTTGGCAAATCGACGAGTATTCACTTCACATGAAAGATTGTGTGACAAGTTTACATGAGTTTTATAATGTTAATGTTGGATATTTCGTATAAAAATTATCTTTTAAGGTTATGTTGCCTGTCGAGTCTTCTGGAACATTCTGTGATTACAGTTCATCAAATTTCTAGAGGTGTTCGACGCCCAGACAGAGAACGCGCTACGTGTGACTAAGATAGCTATTGTACAGTCTGCTAAACAAGTTATTTTAAATAGTTTTTAATATTTTTAGGTAATTAAATTTTAAAAGTGTGGAATGGTTTAGGGATTAAATTGGTCTGATTGGACTTTCTTAGAACGTTTTTAAAAGCAGCTAAAGATAGTATGTAGAATCGAAAATAATTATTATGCCATAAAAGGTGTTTTGAAATTCCTTCAACCCTTTGAAATTGAGTCAGAAAATATAAATTTTATAGGATAGCGGAAAATACCTATAATTTTTTTGTAGGCCTTTGTAAATCGTGGAAATAGTTTATATTTTATTTCTACCTTATTAAGGAAAATGGTACCTATTATTAATAACGGTTTTTTCTGAAACATTACTAAAATTTTCGAAATTTTGTTTTTCTACAAAATAATAAACTATACTATTTAGAAAAAAATTTATTTCTCTTATGATTTTATAAAAAATAACAGGGGAATATTTACATTTCTTGATCTATTAAACAAAACGATAAATTATCTCGACGAATGATACCATGTTCTAGGACGGAAGCTAGCTTTACATTTTTGTTGGTGGTTTCATGGGTTTCATATCAATTTTTTGTAATTGTAGTTTACACGTACATATACCTCTTAACACTTGTTTGCTTTATTAAAAAAGTGTGTTGTTGTGATTTACGTCGAAATAAGTCAAAAACAACTTGAAACCCCATATAAAATCAAAAAGGAGAAACGGAAAAAAATTGAGCCTGTAAATGAACACAACTCAGAAACAAAAATAGCTATCTAATAATAAAAAAATAAAATTTGATTCTTGTGCAGCTTCATCTATATCATTAACTGTTTTTGGTTTTTTAATGGTTTTTCTTGGTGATGAAAATTCCGATATCTCACGGTTATCGATTCTTTTTTTCTCTCCAGAAATGCGGACGACAGTGTTTTTAGATACTCCTGTGGCTGCAGCAACACGATCATTTACATTTTTAAATGGTATTGAAGGTGAATTAAAGTTTCCTTCTCTTCTCATAAACTCTATAACATTGGCTATTATTTCGCGAGATTGACTGTTAATCACGCGGCCTCTTAATTTGCTATTAAACTCCATACTTAGGTTCTATTAAACTGTAATGAGCAAAAAACACAAACGAAAATAAAAGAAATGTTTTAGCGAAATTTACATCTGACATTTACGTCTGAATGAAATAGTGAAATACTTGATGCGCAGAGTGTACTTTCATTGCGTAAATCCGTCGGGATGCCTGTCAGTAGTGCTTTCTCTGTCTAGCCGTCGAAAGCCTCTAGAAATTTGATGAACTGTACTTAGTGTGGTTGTCTTTTTATTTAAATAAAGTTTTATAATGCGTAACAGGTGTAATTGGGCAAAGTTTTGATTTGTAATTGTGGGAAAGTTGAATTTTTAACAAAAATCCTAACAATAAATAAATTGCAAGAGTTAGAAGACGATCTTCAGAATCTTCGAAGATTTTTAAGACGAGGGAAGCCATTTGATGAATAATTTTCTCTTATTTCAAACGTTTTGGTTTAATAATTCGCTTTAAAGCTTTTTTAGAACCTTACGTGAATTCGATGGGTGACGGAATGCACAAAACCTTTTAATTTTTCTATGCGCAGAGCTCTTTTCCTGACAGAATGGATGAAATGTGAATATTTGAAGTTAATTTCTACAAAATAGCTCAAAAGTGACAAAATGTAGACCAAATACATCATATAAATTTGGTAACATGAGTCTGAATGAACGTGAATTTACTTTCCCTGAGAATCCAGCATTTATGTGTTGGGTGAATGGCGTGTAAAGCGGTTTTTCGCTTCATACGTTTATTCCATTGAAATTCGTGTGAAATCGAGAATAGGAGCCCAGGTAACTATTTAAGCCGTGACGATTGTAGACGTCGAATTAAAGAGGAACTTATATTATTGGAAGAGTAATTTTAGATAGTTTTGAAGTATTATTTTAAAAATACTTCTTTAAAGGTTCTCCATTCTATTTTTGAAGCAGACTTATAAGAGCTCGCGGATTCAGAAGTATTTTGGCTGTCTTGCATACTTTGATAAATTTAGAAATGTTACCTGGGGTTATATTACCATTTATTAGTAACACATTTTTTAAATAATTTTTATGTGACAAACCATTTACTTTATGCTTGGGTATAAAAAAATTACTCGAAATTAATAAAAGAAATACCGTAAAAAAAAATTGTTTACTTACAGACTGCTCAATCCCTCAATCCAATTGAATTACATCACATTTAAGCGTCAAAATGAAGCCAATTAGGAAAAGTAAACATTGTCCCAGAGTTGTACTGCAGGGCATTTGAAAGTTTACATTTCATTTATGAGTCTGAATTATGCGTGGGTTTGCGATGAGATCAGATTTAACAGATTCGCATCAAATCATGATTCTAGATTTTGGTTTATATCACTCTATACAGCGGTTGGGAAAAATATGGCATCAACATTAACCAAAAATCAAAAAATAAAGAAAAATAAATAACATAATCACTATTTTTATTAAGCATTACTAAAACTGAAATATAATGAAAAATAATAACAAAATTAATTTTAGACAATATGCCATCCAAAATTCTTAAATAAAGAAATCTCTCCAGTATTAGCCTTTTTTATATAATAAAAGAAATCAAACTGATTTGGTATATTTTTTAATCCTCTTAAAGAGTGGTTGATAATGTCGATGTATAAAAAAGAAAACTCATTTCTATTTGAAAAATATATTGAAAAAAGATTGATATCACTTTTAAATAAGTATGTAATCGGTTCAGATAGACAATACGGATTTTGAAAATAAACAACTTCCGATAATATAGCAAGATTTACAAAATTTATTAACAATTCTACAAATGAAATACAAGCATCTCAGTGATGCATAAACGGGTTGTTGGAACTTAACTTAAAGGGTAAGATTATAAGTTTTGCTGATGATTCAGTAGTTGTATACACGGATAAAACTTGAAATGAAAAAACTGTAGCAAAAAGAGAATTCCAAATTATAAGTAAGTGGTTCCAGCTAAACACATTGACAATTAATTTTAATAAAACGAAATTTATGTAATTTGTCTCATATGCCAATAACTTGCCAACTTTCACAATACTTCATATAAAAAAACCAGTCTTTCATACCTGGCACCAGTGGCGGCTCGTGACCAAAAATTTGGGGGTTCATAGTGACAGAATATAGATATCAGTGTAGATGTATGAAAAAACTTTCAGTGTTTTAGAAAGTTTATAATATACCTTTCTAAAATACTGACTAAATAAAATATTTAGAGTTTGTATTGGACCAACATTAAAAATAGGATTTACATATCAAATATATCATAAATAAATTAAGAGGAATATTACCTCGTTTTAGGTATTTAAAATCTTTTTCATATATAAAAACTTTAAAAACACTATGTTTCTCTTTTGCAATCATATTTAAGTCATGGCTTACTAGGGGAATCTATGACGCACACATGAGGCTCTTAGATGTTATACAAAAATGGTTATACTTATTAAAAACAAAAATCTTTCTAGTGTTTTACTTTTACAGTCATCTAAAATATTAGATATGAGACAACTGTTTTTTCAGAAAGTAGCTATAAATATTTTCAAAAACAAAGAAATAATAACAAAAGTTGATCATCCATTTAATACTAGATATAAAATAGATAGCTATCAGTTACCTCGTCGAAAAAAGAAACTAGGTTGCAGAACATATTAATATTTATCTCCTAGAGTAGTCGCCTTCCTCTCAATGTGTTGAGCTACTTTGTTAATTTTGGAATAAACAGCGAGCTACCCACACGGAAGCCACGTAACGCAACGTAAATGAAATAATCCACAGTTAATTTATCTATATATGTATTTATTTTACTATTTAACTGGTAATACATAATACATAGGTACTAATAATAAACTAATAACAAAATAACTAATATTACTAGTACGTACTTGTTCATAGCTACATTCCTACCTACCAAACGAAGGTGTTTGAAAAATAAACACAAACTTTTATCCAGCCACAACGGCATGTCACGTAAGATTTAAAAATAGTT